AACAGCGCTGAATTTTTATTCCTCGTGACCGCTTTCCGTTTCGGTTTATAACGACAACGTGATCAATTCTGGCAGTTTTTATACAAAAGATTTTATATAAATGTTGTTCTGAAAAATAAGGACAATTAATAGATTTGTTTTTGCTTTCGTTTTTTTGTTTATATACATACAACGAAGTGAAAAGTGACTTTTCGTAATCATTTGTAACTAATAACAATAATAATTCGTAAATTTGAGATTTCATATTAAATTGTTTATTTTGTTTTGACCACTGACTCGATACCGGGAAACCACGATGCGTTTAGACTAGATTATCATACCGGGAAAATGTCAGTACTTTATCCCTGAGTGTGTTTACACGCACAATAATAATCCGTTTATCATCTCATTTCTGCAGATTATTCAGCGGTCACGTAAACAGCATTCTGTTCTACGCTACTGGATTAAACACCTTCTCAGATTACACAGAAGTTGAAAATTGTATCGCAGAACACGTAGAGTTTTCTAGTCACTGATATTTAGCTTGGTTTGTTATTCAGGGCACGATTCCAGGGTTGAGTAACAGAAGGGCACTTTATCGGATTTTGATTTACGTCACACTTTCGCTAGACGAACCAAAAGTAGAACGTGGGAGTTTAATGGTTCGTTTAAATGTGATTTTTTTTGTTTGTTGTTGTTTTCAAATACATATTCATTATGAACGTTCAGGTAGTACTGGAAAAGGTGAATGTGTACTGGTTGCTATATTATATACTGCATATAACCGCATACTTTTGTGTTAATTGTACTAAAATACTAAACAAGCAGGTTAAAGGATCAGACAACTCAGTAGCCTGGACTCCCAGGACAAGCAGATTCTGTGTTTTCTTGAATTTCCCTGTTGACTTTCTCAAAAGTTTTCATTTGTTGTGTGTGTTTAAACGTAACCTGCTTCACGGTGGAATATAACGCACCTCGACGCTGTAACTATTCGCTTTTTAAATCTCACCACCTGCTTCACTACACACATCGCCGATCTTACACGACATGGCGGACGGTAGAAAGATTTATATTAGGTGGATTGATTAGCATACGCTGATGACAGACAATTTTTTTTCGAATCAGGAACAGTCAGGTACGTGGAAACAACAATAACGAAAACAAAACGAAAAAAAAAATCGGAGTAATATCTTTTACGTGCGATGTGACGTCAGAACACCGCAGTTCATCGCAGAAATGTTTTCAAGAATTGCGATTTATTTTTATTTATTTAATTTTACTTTTTTTTTTTTTTTTTACCACATCGTGACTTTTTTGTTACATTTTTTGCCACCTCTATCCTGGACACTATTGAAAACCGCTCCCTGTTTCAGACGCTTCTGCTCAGGAAATATCCGTCAACCTCGGAGGAGTCAACTAGACGCAGAAGATTTAAATAATTAGAATGATGAGGAGCTCAGAAAATTCACTTCAGCCTGTGCGTAAGACGATTCTGAATACGCAGAACTTTCCTCGCGTAAATATTGACATAACTTTCTTTCTTGCTTTGCTAACCTTCACCTCACAGCTTAACAAACTGAAAGAAAGACGCTAGCCAGACTTGAGTAATATCTTTAATGTGTGATGTTAGGACAGAACACCACAGCGCAACCAAACTGCTGTCAAGGGCACAGATATGATGTGCTACAGTAGATGATTTGTTCGAAGAAGATAATAATAATGTATGTGTGTATTAATGCACTTTAACTAACTAACTAGCTCACAGTATGTTATTATATTATGCTAGCTAGACCTTTTTATCCTCATGATTTAGTTTTCTTGGCAACAAAACGCAGGACTGAAGCTTTTACTCACCCGGTGGACTAGATAATAAATAATTTTTCATATCACACATGATGACGCTGTTTAAAACCACAGTTTTTTTATTTATTTATTTACTTTTTAATGAAGAAAAAACAAGATGTGTCCAGATATGTACTGAAAGTGGTATCAGGTTCTTCTGTGATTTTTCAGTAGATTTTTCACATCTGTCTAATCCCTGAATCGTCTCGTTCTCGGTCTCGTTTGCGCAATCAGGAACTCGATCGTTTTTTTTTTTCTTGAGCCACATTTTCGAGGAAAGGCTCCGAGTTGCGAAAGCTGCTTTCTTCAAATCACGCCATCGTGTCGTTAGATGCTCTAGATTGTAGAGATGAAGATGGAGATGGTTGGAATGCGTATTTTAAGAAAGCACTTGTACGTTTTCTGAAGAAACTCAACATCCTTTGATGTCTGCTTTGATGGCTGGAAAAAAAAAAACCCACGTGTTCGGCGTGCGTCTCATCGGCGTGCATCTCATCAGCGTGCGGTGTGTCGTGTGTTAATCTGCTGTCACACAGCTGCATGTTAGGAGATAATCAGAAGAAAAAAAGCAAACTGCACACTTTCCATTGCATATCGGTTACAAAATGCAGCTCTGTCACACGATTAGTGCCAAATTAAAGATTAGATTAAATGACTCATTCAATCAAATGTGCTTATTTGCATTTACATGCTCTGATTTAATATTTAATATTCTTTTCAATGCTTTCTGCTCTTACAATGATTAAATAATTTAACATCAGTCATAAAAAGGAAAAAAAAAAACAGTACGTAAAGCTGTCAGAAGGAGTAATACGTAAGGAATAAACACTTCGGTGGCATGTTGTTGTAGGAAAATAATAAACGACAGGATGGTGTGATGAAGTGGCGTTCCTGTTACCACTCCGAAGTTGATTATTTTCCAATAACAGCATGTCCTGAAGTGTTTTATTCCTCTTCTACCGCAGCAGTTTGCCAGTTGTTACAATTGTTTAATTATTAGAGAGTGACACATCATGCTTTTTTTCCGTTTATAGTTACATTTAACGCCCAAGCACTACTTCGTTCTTATACTTGCATCTCTCTTTTTGAGGTTAATAAGACAAAATGTGAGTACAGAGAAACTTTGTTATTAAAGTAACAGCTTTACATCCGACTGTTACAAAGCGCTGACGCTGGAGACTCCTTCCATACATGTTACATAAACGTCTCCTTACAGATCACATCACCATATCAGGGAGGACGCAGCGCTGTGATGGAACAGGCATCGTAAAGCTCCCGGGGCGCTCGGGGGACGCCCGCGCTCTCTCTCGTCCCACGCGGCGGCGCTTTAAAGCGTTCACATGTCCGGTGTCTGGTTTCATCTCTTCCTGTTTAATCCTCCACTTTTCACCGAAGGCTTCCTGATCTTTCATCTCCTGGCTTAGTGAGTTCATGTTAGCGATTCAGCGGAAAGGACAGTTCAGGACACACTGAAAAAGAGGGACAGAATGAAAACTGACGGAATTTAATTGTAATAATTTTTATTCAGTTGATGAAAAGTCATTTCTTTAACTTGCTCCACAAAATGGAGTGAATTATTAAAAACAAAAAAAACGTAAAATTCAGAACTGCATGTTTTCGTTGTTCCTTTTAGGCTCCATTTTTGTTCATACTTTACGACAATAAAGAAATCTTTTTAAACTTTTGGTCAGTTTTCTGATATTTCAAATAATGATAATTAGTTATCAGTAGCCTTGGATATTTTAGACATGTTTGTGCTGGAAATCATTTTAGAATGTGTGTGTGTGTGTGTGTGTGTGTGTGTGTGTGTGTGTGTGTGCGCTCTAGTGAGACTCCAGTGTGATTTATTTCAGTGCTCATCATCTTCTCATCCATGCGTCATCGTGTTTTTTTTTTTTTAAAATGTTTTCGATTGTCTGTGTGTGTCTGAGATTCTCGTTAGCGTGATATCTCCAGAACAAGCATTTGAATTTTTTTTCATCGTAACAGCAGATGAACTGATTAGAGTTTGGAATTGATCCAAACAGGGTCAAGGTCACAGCAAGGTCAAATGTCTGAAATCGGTTTTCTTCAATCGCTTCCTTGCTGGTTAAAGTAGATTTTAAGGCGCATACAGTTTACTAACAATAAGGTCGGAGTACTTTGGTGGTGGAGGCATCCTACTTGTTTAATTTTTCTTTTTTTACATTTTTCTCTCCTAACAACACTCTTTCCCTCTTCGCTTGTATTTTTCATTCCTTGTTTTTTTCCAGGCTTTAAAGCGAGCGCTTGCGTGTAATGGCGGTGGTTTAGACTTGGGCAGAGCGATATGCCGATTATAATAACATTATTGTGATGAATTACGTCACGGTATGCTTTTCTGAGATATCATGATAGCTTTTCATTATATTTAAAAAAAGAAAAAAAATTTACACTCTGACGAAGCAGGTGATTTTTTTACTTAATTTTTAGAATTGCAAATATGTAAAGATTTTCAGTGTTTGATTTTTTTTTATAAATACATTTTCTCAATATAAAAACAAACACATTTTTGTAGACATTATATAAATCATCGAACAGGATACACATATGTAGAAATGTCTTCAAGTATAGTGATATGATATTTTTTTGTCATATTTTCCACCTCTAGTCTAGCCACTAATGAAAAAGACGCTCACCTCTGGCACTTCTGAGGCTTGGAGGTGTGAACGAGACGTAGGTGGTTTGAATCATAAGACGTATGTAAGACGATTCTGAATACGAGGAACTTTCCTATGTAAATATTGACATAACTGTCTGTCTGGCTGTGCACTATAGCCATGACCTTGTCTGGACTTATCATATGAATTCTGTTTGTCCGTATTGAGCAGGAGAAAAAAAACACTAATATGTAGGGAATTCTGGGACAAAGAGCCAGGCTAGAAAGAGAGAACGAGGAGCGCAGTGTCGAGGCATGACCCGACCTGAGAACGAGTCTGAGTAAGGATTAGAGAAGAAAGCTAGTCCAATCCTCTCCCTGGCGTCAGTCCTGTCCATCCTGTCCCTTTAATGCCCTTAAGACTGTAAACACTCGCCCTCGCGCTCG